GCAGCAGTGCTCTCCTCAATTCGTTTCAGATTAGCTTCCAATGCTAGCTCAACACTTGGCCTAAATAATTTCAACAGCACCGGGCAAAGTGCAAGCCCCCGAGCTTCCAACAATGTGCAATGTCCAAAAGCTATTTGAACACATTCTGCAGCGGCCCTAAGGCCCCCAGCAGCTGCAGATGATGAGAGTGCATGCCTCTTGACAAGGAGAGCAAAGTCCTCTGTTTGCTTGCTGGCCCACACTACAAGCTCCGATGTATAAGCTGGCTCATTCCCAAAAATAGCTAACGAATCACTGGCTGCTTGGGAAATGGCAGAGAATACCAATTGTGAGAGTGCCGCAGTATATGCTCCACCATATGTTGTGCTTGAGGGACGAAAACTTTGCATATTGTATTGGTACCTCTGATGATGAGCGTTGAGGAGTAAACTATGAGCACGAGGACCATCACCGAGTCTCTTGAGAGCTGAAATAGCAGCACGAAGCTCTGTACCACGAGTTGAAGTTTGGGAGGCAATGTCAGCAAGCTGGTCGGCTAATTTTTTCCTACGTTCCGTAATGGCAGTTTGCAGAAACAATAAGACTCTGGGACTTAGTGTAGTCTTTTCTTTTGCTTCACAAGCTATTTGTTCCCCTTTTTCAAGGCTTGACAAGGCCTCGTCTACTCTCCTCTCAGCTAATAATACATCAAGGTTGTCAGGAAACTCTGTTAACCATCTCTCTAGATCTGAAGGTTCTCTTGTTTTATCATTGGAAGTGTCGTTTGTGGCATTATCAGGACTAGCATCAGATAGAGAATCAACATGGACTCCTTCAGCTAAATAATTGATTAAAGTAGACTGAGTAGATAGCAGCTTTCTCATTGATGAAAGTTCACCCTCGAGATCTGAAATCTCTTTTGATGTGCTGCAAATGCAGAAGAGACAAAGAAATGGAAGCTTTAGCGCCTATTAGAAATTAGTACGTTAAATAAAAGGGAGAGCAGATCATTATACATCCAGGAACTCATTCCTTAGTTCGTGTAACGAAATATCTTCTCCCTGGTTCTTGTGAAAATTCTTTTGTCCAAATTGTAAGGAACATTTTGGTTGACTAAATCTAAACTCTAATGCCGGAAGAGCAGAACAGGGGTAAACAAAAATACAGATAAAAACTTACCGAATGAAAGCTGTATAGTTAGCATAAACACTTCTGCGCATTTCCTCAGCAGAAGCTTTTTTCAGATCCATCAGTGAGGAGCATAACTGCCTAATCTCCTGCGAACACATACATTATAAGCAAATATGGAGTATATGCTTCAGTATTCTTGTGAAAAAATAATGATAATACTCCGTAATAATAATAATACTGTTCAGATAAGCATGGATAAATGATAACAGACTAGTTGTGGGAACGAAATGTAGAAATTGAATATTGTCTCAAAAAATCTCTCTATTTCCAACATTTCAAGTCATTGATAAATCATAGTTATTGCAATAAAATTTTCACACACGCACACACACACACATATGTATGTGTGAGCTGCATGGAGACAGTCTTGTGCTGAACCACTGATGAGCATATATATCTTTAAGTTGTTTTTGACAAAAGCGAACCTCTTAAATTAAATGTGAAATAAAGTCAGGGGGTGTATCAAACCACTCCCCTAATCTATGGGTACAATGAGAAGCCCTCACAAGTAGATGCTTTAAGTTATACTGTACTTAATTACTTAAGCTTCTATATTCAAAACAAAATGATACATTCTACAGGAGGAGTAATTTCCATACACAGCGCTAGAAACACAGAGTAATCAATGTTTCAGCAAAGCCCAATAACCAAGGAAATCAATTAAGCAAGTTTCCTATGATTGTAATTTGTATTATTAACTCAAATATTTTACACATGCACTAGTTTCTTTTTCACATAATAGTTGTGATCTCTTTAAATGGGACAGCAAGATGGCTTGGTTAGACAAGTTGAGATTGAAACAAAGTCCATAAGGAAGTTTCCCTTCCGCTGACTCTCTGTCTTTCCCTATTTCTCATTCGCGGTGTGTCAATGCCTCATAAGGAGACACCAAACGCAGAAATCACCCTAAAATTCAGGTCAATATTTTTGTATTAATAATATAGGTTTCTGAGAGTATGACTCTATACGATCTGTATTTCATGATGAATGGCAACATCTCGCACAATTTGCTCCAAATGCTCTTTTTATTGGGTCCTGTCATTCGTAGAACAATGGGAAAAAAGGCTAGAGGGAGAAGATCATCAGCTTCAAATTAAAGTATGCATTTACTCACACAATAGCATGACCTCCTAAAGCATTAGTGAAAAATAGATTGTTGTTTAACTAGAGAAATCATTATGCACATTAGGTACATGGCTATATTAAGTACCAATTTCCTAATTGTCCTAGCTTTTTCAAAAGGGATCAAATGAAGTCTTGGAGAAGAATTAAACAAAACACATTTCAACTAATCTATAATTCGATCCATTTCAACATTCAAACACAAACTGCAGCTAAATTATACGTAGTTAACATTCACGGAGTACAATTATTGATGGGAAGTGAGTAAAAATTCACACACACACACAAACTAGAAAATGTGCCCAAAACATTTAACGATAAGGTGCAAAAGAAATGACCTTTTCATTCATGGAATGGCACTTGGATTGGACAAAGCCGTCGGCGTCAAAACTGTCGGATTTAAAGACAGTAAGCTTCTCCTCCAGCTTAACGCCGGCGTCCCTGCCGCCTCCTTTCGCCGGCGTCGCGGCCGCATGCGTTCTGGACCTAGACGACTTCAGCGTTGCCATAATGCCCCCGATTAATTCCGGTCGATGATCACCTAATTTTCCGGAACGGGGGTGGCATAAACTTCTAGAGAACAAATCCACAGATCTGCGTTTGCGGAGGTGAAAGGCGGCGAGAGGAGCCGCCGTGAATTATTGAAGTATGAGATACGGAAGCGCGCAGGGAGAGGGAGGAGGAGAACGTGGTGCAAAAACAAATTGGGCCTTTCTGAGAAGCTCTCATGAAACTGCCGAATTTCCCAACTGTGCAAAGCTGAGGGGAGATGATGATGATGGCTGAGTCTTTAAAAGAAAGAAAGAAAGAATGAACTGTAATTTTGAAAAAGAAAAAAAATGTGTGCCATTTAAATTAGTAAATTACACCCACCATAAAAATTACATCCATCCTAGAATACTTTCAGTTATTTGGCCAGTTTGGAAATAGCGTTTTCAATTAGCGTTAGCGTTTTGGATAAAATTTTAACGGTGCAGATTAACTTCGAAAACGCTAAAGTTAAAGGCTGCCCGTAGATAGCCTTCTCAAAACGCTAACGCTAATCTCTAACGTTTTTCTCAAAGAGGCCCATTAATTTCTTATCGTGGGTTAAAAGATAAAAAAATTAGACACCGCTAATGTACCGTCTATGCCCAAAAAAGAAACTCACAGTTCCATTTTTGATCAAAATGTGTAATATTTTTATCACAAGCTAAATATAGTTTTAAATAACTAATACTACGTATTATAAAAGATTCATATATATAAAATATATTTTTTAAAAAAACTTGTTTTTATTAAATTTACATTGTAACTAAATATAATTTTTTTCATAATTTATGGGTGAAGTATAACATAATTAAACTAAAAAATTAAATTGTGGTGATCTTTTGGATACAAACAAAATAATCTCATCTAACAATAAATGCGGCTTGAGTTAATATTTAGGCATGTATTAAATTCAAGTAATACATTATATAAAAATCAATATCTTATTATTATAACTCAGTAATAGTATGTTGAGTATTATAAGCTGTAAAGATTGATTTTGTCCAATATCTTAAAATGGTTGAATTCATGGTATCCAAAAATCATTTAACAAGAAAGTTTGGGGGCCCTGTGCGGGTGCCCACCTTGCACACCCTCCGGACAGTCCCTAACCACTATATATATATATATATATATATATATATATATATATATATATATATATATATATATATACACCCTTATATTATAAGGGGCTAGAGAGTTACCGTCAAGTTTTTTGGCCCATTTTCCGTCTTCCTTCTGTTTATTTACTGTAGTGAGTGCACCCACTTCATTTTCCTTTCCTGCTATCCCTCTCACCGTCTTACCCGGGCTCTCTTTTTCACTCTTGGCATTCAATTCTTCACCGCAGCCCACGTAACCCACACCCCCAATGCCGATTTCAAGCTCGTCCTCTGATCTAAATGCTTAATTGGTATTTCCCAGTATCTGAATTTCTCTCTGAATTGCAATTTACTGGATCCTACAATTTCTGGTAAAATTCCTTTTTTTTCTTTGCATCCTTATTTCAATTTTATTCTAAAAATTTTCTTCTTTGCTCTATTCACTTCACGTATTCAAAGAGAATTACTATTTTTTTATTGATTTGCTTGTTCATTTGAAGTTACTTTGAATTTTGTTATTTCAAATATTAAAAAGAACTTGCCTACTACAAGACCACATGCTAACCTCACCACAAATATTGAGAGGGTGAGGTTTTGTTAGAGCTAGACACTGGAAAGAACAAAAACTAAATGCGGTAGCAATGACAGAAATTTATAAGATGAATTGGGTATAATTGGAATATTTTGGACCTATTTAGGACCATTTCTAATTAATTAATGTGTTAATTAATGTGGTATCACGCAATTTTTGGAGAACAACATCGTTAAGAACATAGTTTAAAATAGCTCGTATTTGGAAGCTTGCATTTTATTTTGAGTTACTTTTCAGTGTCTCTTATTCCTTTTTAAATTTTCATTAGATTATGTATTTTATGTTTAAAAAAGAAATAAGAGTCATTTTATCGCCATTTGGTTTTTGTTTATTCTATGGTGTTGCCCTTAGAATGTAACTCAAACCTATTGCATGTTAATTTGAACATGCAATGATGCAAATAACAAATGATGTTTCAATCCAACATCAATAATTGGCTTATGGATATCATTTCAATATAAGAGTTTAAAAGAATGTGTTTTGTTCTATACTTAGATTCAGCTTGGGGTGGATTCAATTTTCAATTCTTATTAGTTGCATGTAGTTTCAATTCCCTCACTTAACTTTAAATTGTTTAGGTTTTTTAAGTTTTATATTTGCTCCCAATCGTTAGGAAAAAACCTTTGAGTGTAATCAATCAATAACAACTTTTTTTATTTTTAAATTAGGTACCTTTGATTCAAAATGATGTCACCTAATTACCAAGCCAACGATGATAAAATGTTCCCCCTCCTATGCCTTCGTTTGTTAGCTACTCTAACAAAAATACCTACTTCAATAAAAACATCCGCAAGCCTTGTCTCTCCGACTTTAAAAACAAATATTGCATTTGAAATCAAGGTTCCAAATGACAAAAAAGAAGAAACTGTACTGGTCCCTTTACCTTATTCTTGCTGTTTTGAGCAAAATCTAGCTTAGATGTTTAGGCTTTAAGTGTGAATCACCATGTAAAATATTCCTTTTGCGCTTTTTGGATGTACAAAACTAATGTACATGGGCACCTACGCACAGAGTGCGTCCTTTGCTAGTATATATATATAGGACTAGAGTGTATCCTTATCGTCGCTTCGGGATCGGATTGTCCCAGATCGTTTCACGTGGACTCCGACCCATTTCACGTAGACTCTCACTCTTTATCAATTGTGTAGTCACGATTTTATCCTAATACAATATTCTGGAGTATTAATTATGAAACGAGCCAAATATATTGGTCCTAACTCGCTACACGCATCTAAACCGGTCCCAATATATTCATTTCTGTATATTAATTGTAAGCGTGTTAAAGACCCTCAATAAACACTTCCTTCATCCCAAAATGTTAAACTTCTACAAAAAAAAATGACTATATACTTGAAGCAATATTAATGTTCTCGTACAAACTCTGAAAATGACCTGTGAGAGTATTCATTTTTTTTTCTTTTTGAATTAAACACTTTATCCATCATAAAATAAAGTTTACGCTTTTCTTTTTGGGTCATTTTTTAATAAAAAGTAACACTTCCTTACATTCATATAAAGAATGTGACATTCTAAGTCACTAGAACAAGTTTCACTAACACAAAATGAAAAATGTCAACTCAATTTCTTGTCATGTTTAGGAGTGCGTAAAATCAAACACAAGATTTATCAATTCCATTCGAAAGCTCGGAGCCAAAACAAGAAAGGTAATTACTACAGAAAACAAAGGGTGGGGATTTCCAAGGTTTTTAAAACAACACACACCCAAAGCCCTGGCTGTAGTGTTTGATACCGTTTAGTCTACACAAGAAGAACCGCATTGATACAGCCATCGTTTTCGGGATTATTCGTCACTTGAGCATACTTTCCTGCATCACCCCATGAATTGGAAATGAATACTTGCATATAAATCAGGATAAACAAAACCCATATTTCTCAGCAAACATGAAATCAAAGGAAAATTTGTCAGCTCCATCCAAAATTTTCCACCCCCTTAATAAATACAGAAGAAAAGAGCAAAGCACAATCTTACCCCAGACAACCTTTCCAGCAGGGGTTACAAGACCAAGTTCGCTGACATTCACCTGAAATTCACAGAAGGCTCAATGATCGAAGCATGCTATAATAGTAACAGCAATAGCAGGGCATATGGAAACATCAAACATTTATCATACTAGTAGAGGTTATACCTCGATGATGGTTCCTCTGGTTATAACGCCAAGAGAGGTATACATTGGACCGTTCGGGTTTTTCTTCACGCTCACAATCTCAAGATTGAAGGTACACTTGAGTTCGGGGTGTGTCACATGAGCTTTAGTGAAGCGCATACCCGAGGGGCGGATAAAGCGTTCATATTTTGGGGGTTTTCTTGTAAAACTAGGGCCTACAAAAGTGGCTTTTGTGATCATCCTCTTCCATTGCTTGGCTGCATGAAGGAATGAAATGAGAAAAAACTTTCTAGACCAAAACAAAACTAACACCAACAAGACAACTAAGCAATCAAGTGTGTGTATTAGGGTTTTGCAAACAATTGCCCTTTGGGGAATGGTTATGCAATCCAAATATGGAAAATTATCATTAAAAAACAGATTAAATGCATTTCATCATATTTAAATGAATATCTAATGATATTTTTTTCCTATCTGGAATGTTCAACCATTGCCCTTAGAACAATATTTAGCAAAACAAAGTGTAGGGGTATGTAAGTATTGTAAGCACTTACTCTTTCTTTTGCCTGTTCTAATCACTCTAAACATCTCATCTTCAGCCACAGGCCTTACCTGGAAAGTAGAAAGTACCCATTAAACTAATTGGGCATTTTAACACTTCAATTCACAAAATTGTCCCAAAAACCTGTTATAATAGGCGCAAGAACATGCGGGCACATAGCCTTTGTATGGTTGGGGAGAAATAGGAAGGATAGAAATGTAGGCATGTTCTTGTTTAGTTATTCGAGAAACAGATGAGAGATGAGATTATTGATCATACCCTTGTTTTAGGTCTAAAAGATTGGAAAGAAATGAAGTCCTTTATTTTTACACATTTGATCTCTATTTCCCTCCTATCAAACAGCACACAAAGTCTATCCTATTTCTCTAATAATTCTTTCTTCTCCATCCCTTAGTCCCTTACTCAACAAATTCTTGCTTTTCTATTTCATCCCTAAAAATAAATAAATGCCCTAATACATGCATACAAACATTGTTCATTCATACATAAATATACAACACACACACACAAAGAGATGAGAGCAAGAAGATTTAAACACATTACTGATGAAGAGATTAAGAAAAGCATTCAAAAACATTGGTAATTCAAAAAAGAGGCAGGTTGTAGATTTCTTACATAAGTTCATTTCAACGGGTAAAGAATATGTCGATAAAAAAATGAGAGTACGAGGGGGGTCATGTCCTAACCAATCTATCACGACCACTATAGTCAGCTAGGTAAAAGCAAGACAAGATATCAGCACATACATTGTGGTTGTGGTATAATATGAATTTGTGTTACCTTAGGTAAAGGCACATCCCATTTCCCAGCTTTCTCTTTCCTCTTTTGCTTTATACTATTGCTGAGAGCCTGTAATGACCAAAAAATAGTTAA